TAAAAACCATTTCCGCAAACAAAACCGTATAATTCCACGTTGTTACGCGTCACTTTCGAAAGTACGCCACGCGTTACGCCCATATCCGGCCTCCCGTTTCCGGTCGCGAGAAGCACCGGATCTCGCGGAGACGCGGAGATGAGCCGGGGTAGAGAGACCAGGGGCGAGTGCGAGGTGCGATGGAGGGTGAAAAAAAAATACAGCCCAAATGCAAACATACATACGCAGCCGGCCGGGCAGATCTGCGCGGGTAAATATCGCGCCGAACACGCCCGTCGCAATTACACGAGTGCCTGCAAGTATAATGAGCTGTGCGTTTCATTGTGATTTATGCAACGGCTGATACCCGCGTTCGTGCATATGTGTCGTTGGAAAGAACCATCTCTCCTCTTGGCCCAGCGATAAATTCGGGGAATAGGCGTGCGGCCGAAAACAAACGTCACGTGGTCTTCAATTGTCGATAAATAATTATTATTACATTGATTTTTCGACAAATTGATGGATAAGATCGATTTATCGATTTTTTTCAAAGTCACATGTATCTTCTGTCAATGATAATTTTGATAAATTTAGAAGAGTCAAGAGTCTTTTTACTCTTGACTGTGCTGCCAAACTGCGGTTGGCAAAAAGACGGAGGGAGTATGCGTTTCATCGAGCTCGAATTGATTGTAACGGGTATTCTCGATAACTATAACGTAGTTCGATATATTTTGCACATCAATTTCTTATTAATCAAGGAATGTTTCAAGCATATAATTATCGTTATTTATTTTATTAATAAAAAGCGAAAAAATAATATTATTTCGTCCTCTCGTTGTTTAGAAGAGATTTTTAACTTGATATTCTGCTGATATAAATCTTCGTAATAAAATACAGAGCACGACGATTATTATAGAGCAACAATACTTGGCCATTTCGCAAGAGATCAAAGAAATACAGCGATATATTATGTATACCCCTCGAATCTCCATGCGTACCGCAATTAAATGTAAATTTGCCGCCCCCCTGTCTTGATTGATTCGCAAATGTCTTATAATGGGACGGCTAGGAAGGTCAATTCCACTGGTCGCGCGTTAAATATGCAATCTTGGGGATCATGATGGTCGGCTCTCGAACGAGGAGGTTTCGCATTACCGGCGATTTCGTTGGTAAGGCAATCGTCGCGACGCGAAGAGAGATATTAACCCTAAAGGATTGTAAATATCAATGCGTAATAAATTACGCTGAATAGTCGAGATTATAGGTGGCCGGCCGATGATTTTAACGGTAATTTTTGCGCACTCAACCCCGTCGTAATACTCTGTTATTAATACTTATTCCACCGTCGTTTCGTTCATGCGCATCGAAATAATAATATTTTTCGTAGAGTCCGTAAAATTGCATCCGCGACGATCTCCTCCGAAGATGCATTCGCGTACCTAGGAATCCGACATTTTTGCGCATCTCGTACTAGAACGCAAGCGTAATGGAAATTATATATTATTCGGTACTTTGACGTAATTTCTCTGCCATGTAATAGACGTCGGCAGTCATTAGAGCTGTGTGCTTTGAATCAACTATAACATTTCACATGCAAAAATATCATAATGGGCATCGCAAATGTTTAATCATCTTTCAAACGAATACATAATAGAAGAAACTATATAATAGTGAAAAATTACGAGAAAATTGCTTAACAGTTATTCATTGCATATTGGATCTTTATCACATTAAACGACTAGCAGCTGACATTTTTTCGCATTATAAGAATATACGAACGATAATGTAAATTTGTAAATAATAGTTAGAAGCCCGCCAATCAAGCAGTTTAACTAATAAGTGAGATAGACATGTAAGAGGTATAAAATGATGAATTGATAGTAGACAGCTTTCATAAATCCGCAATCTTATCTTAGATCGCGTCGTTAATCGTCTTGAATCGACAAATACAGACGCAACATTCCATTCCACGTATGTATTTTAAGCGATAAATTGATCGACCTAAACAACTCGTCAAAATGCTGACGCATGACCTGCCCGACATGACAGGCGTCATGGACCTCGCGTGTCCCGCTCAGCCGGTTTAATACTATTCGGTTACATGTATTATTCAATCAGCCAATAAGAAGGAAGACACGCGATTTATGCAATCTACGCGGGTGAAAGCTGAGGGATCTCAGCGTGGGTGGACACATCGCGCATGAATCATCTTTGTTCTTAAATTATGAGTAAAGACGTTTGAGTATCAATAATGGAGAACTGTCGGCGAATTAAATCTTTTGGAAGAATTAAATTTCTCCCAAAATTAAATAGATACTCTTAGAAATTAATTAAAATAAACAATTTAAAGTTAAATGAAATAAATTTAATCAACGTTGATTATAAATATTTGTTAGAAAATAATCATAAGTTATCCACAAGAATTGACTTAATTATGCTAAATCATTGTCACGTATTTCTAACTAATTTTTCAAATTATATTATTATAAAGTATATTTCTTTTCTAATCACTACATTCTCGGCATTGAATAAAAATTTATAAACAATAATATAAGATATTTATAATAAATATGTATAGTGTAGAATTGTGATTTATTTGCTTCCTTGGGGAAACTGAATTAAGATTTTATATCAAGTGTAATTGTATCCAAGCGATGATTCATAAAGTCTACAGAAAATATCCCAATTAAATCTGGCTATTAGCGTATAATTTTGTTCCTAGCTGGATGTCTACGATTGTTAATAGCTCGTTAATAACGAGCTCTTTACATCCAGACATGCGGCTTGGACGAAAGCCGACTTACAAGCACTATATATAAAGCAATAAAAGTTAATTCACCTTCTGTATAGGCAATGATACATCGGTATTTAACGCCTACGTAGAGTATAAAGAGCACATTTAGCACACATACGCGCATGTACACAACTTCGAGTTTTATTTATTTAATTTATTTTGAGTATTAAATAATCAATCACCAAAAAGTAATTATTTTGAAAAAATTAACACCTTATTTTAAAAATTTTTATATATATTTTTTAACTCTTGTTTCTTTACTTTCGACTTATATTTTTAATTGACATAAGATTTACATTTAAGTGACAAAATATTTTGAACGCTTATTAATACTTGAAGTTTCTGATAAATAAAATTGATGAAAACAAATTCTAAATAAACGATAAGAAACAATAATATATATATAGATTATGACAAGCTTAAAATTCTCAAGCTTTATCACTTACATTGGATATTGTTGAAGCGTCGCTAATTCTAGGATGTGTAATTTTTGGATCATATAAACGGCTCGACTCACCGAAAAGCATGCTCTTTTTTTTACAAGCTCTCATACTACATTCCATTAAAGTACTATCGCATTTTTTTAAGTCGCATTTGAATCCTAATACTCGTCTCTTCTTAAGACTTTTGCCCAAAGATTTCATCTTTATAAAAGTATCTTTCGTCGTCTTCTTAAGAAGTGGCAAAACGTTCTATCGGAAGATATTTTTATTGAAAATTTTCAGTTCCCACAAGAATATTTTAGCAATAAAGGGAAGTAGAAAAAACCTGCAATTTTTCTGACGTGTCTTTCATTGTTGTTTTTAGTTGATCGGACAGTTCTACCGTTTTACCGGACTTTATATCAGATTGCTTTTGATGAAACAATGATTCACACGATATTTGCGGTTTGTAATTCGATGTTTGAGCTCTGAAATATATATGTACATAAAATATAAGATACATATTTGTTATATCATTTTCGAATTAATTAAAAATAATTTCTATATTTCTATAAAATATATAAAATTAAAAATTGTAAAAATAATGAAGTTGTTAATTTCTTCAACAATATATAATTGTCTGAATCTTAGTTTAATTATTTATGTGCTATTACAGTTATAAAATTTTTAAAAGAGACGACAATTAAATAAAGATTTAAATTAATAAATATTAGCAAAATCAATCGTTAATTAAACTATATGTATACCTATCTTTGTTCTCTCTGTAATGTGTACATAATTTTGAACAACCACTTCTGGAAGGAAATGATTTAATACTTTCTACAGGTTTGCACGACTCTGAACATTGCTCATTCTCAATTATCGGTATATTTTTCTTTTTCTTCGAAAACATTTCGGATGATTCAAAATTCAAGATATAAACATATTTATCGAAAGCTATCGATTTTTTTTCTATGCATTCTAAATTTTAAGATATTTCTTGATTATTCTTATTATTCCGACAAAATTTTATCTTTGATCGCTCTTGCTTTATCAGATGCAAGTACATTATCTTTTTGAAACTTTCAATCGTTTCAATCATTTCTGTCCTAGTCAATCTCTTTTGTAATGTTGTCTTTATTGTCCTTTATATCGCTTGTAAAGTTTAACTAAATGTCTAACTCGTATTTTTAAACGAGGTACTTGGAGACGAAAGTGGAGGTCTCAGCACTGCTCGTTCGCGAAGAATCACAATAGTTTTCGAGCCTATTTTTAATTCGTTATCAATAGGAGCCGGACTCCTCGCTATTATAAGGATTTTCTCCATTTTATGTGTCTAAATTTAAAACAAAATATTAATTTTCTTGCATTTATATGCACATATAAGCTTAAAAGATATATCATTATATATCTTGATTAATAACGAATAAAGATGAACGAAAAGATAACCTAATTATCATCTGATTATTTCTTATTATCACCTTATTATCATTATTCGATGAACGTATGTATGCATTCCAAATCTTTTTTCTAAAATATCTGTAAAACTTAACAACACTACGATACGCGGTCGAAATTATGGAATATTTTACTTATAATAAATTAACGTAGATATAAAATCAACAAGCTGAATTGAAAGTTGAACATTGCGAATCTCGATGAGTATAATCGATACATCCATAATATCTGATAATATCAAGGAATTGAAAGAGACATAGAAACATAGAAACATAATTATTTTATATAAAAATCTTTGTAAAATCAATATCAGTAAAAGTGATTATATTTTTGAATATAATATAATATTAATCCCTGCTTTTAGCCTTTAAAATTTTTGTTGGAAATTTTTGAATGCGATTAATGCCTTTTTCAATGATCGTTTTCGTTCTTGGTTTATGATTTGCTATATTTCTAGATGAAAGTTTCTGGAAACAGTAAATAATAATTGATATCAGAAAATAAAATTTACAAATTAGATATAAGTTTTTACCGTGTTTAAATCTACATTTGATTCAAAATCAGCAGTGACAGCAAGTCTCTTGCTTCCAGTATTTTCACTACTATGTGTTTGTCGGGGTTTTAATCTATCTTCGAACATTGTTTGTGTGTTGTTCTGGCCGTACCATATTTCTCTCGGTGGCACAACTAAAAATATAAGTTTGATATAGATTATTAAATCGCATTATTATTAAGAATCTCTAATATTAATAGTAATTTTCAATTTTAATTCTATTCTTTTTTTCAATCCATGTTTTACTCTTTGATTTGTCGGTCCCCTTTTTTTTATCTTGAATTTGTATTTTGTCACGTATTTCTTTGGATCTAGGTAATCTGTCTGGAATTTTGTCTTCGTCGCTTCTACCTTCCTGCCCTTCCGTCCAAAATTCGGAAGTAACAGTACTCTGTTTACTTGTAACAGCTCTTTTAGCGTATCGTTGAGTCGATTCATGTCCGTCAGTACTAAAAAATTATTCTTTTCAAAATAAATCTTCTCCAGAACATTTTTACGTATTAAAATTTAACGAATTTTATAATTATATCGATATGATTTTTAAATATTGTTTAAAATATAATACAAGAGAAATACATACAAGAGCAATTAATGACTATACAATGTATATTAATTTAATATAAGCTGTTTAAAAAAAACCGCAAATAATTTTAAAAGAACAAAATTTACCTAGCAACTTCAATCAACGTTGATGTTATATCGAGATTGTAATATGGAACTGTATAAGTATCTAAATATTCTTCCGCATGTTCCTTCCAAGAATCTGTATATTGTTCACTTCCCAATTCTCTCGAAGAAGTTCGAAAGTTCGAATCGGTAACATCACTTCTTTTTTGCGATCTCACTGTCACAAAATGACGTGGAATCTGTCAAAGATTAAAAATGTTATAAGTATATACTTTAAAATTTATTTAGATTATTGAAAAATTATTGTTGCAAAATTATTATTGTAAAATTTATTTAGATTATTGCAAAATTATATACAATAATTAAAAACATATTTATTTGATTTTTAATACGAAATTTTCGGTAAAAGTAAAAGATTAAAAGAAATTTTTGTACCTGGTCGGTCTCTTCTTCCAGCAACATTAATGTAACCGATGATCCATCCAAGACCCCATGGAGATGTGGCAATTTTTGTTGGCAACAATCAGTTGAACGCGCCTTTAGAAGTTTCCACCAAGAATTTTCATTTTCCAAAAATGTTTTTATCTTTCCCATTTCTCGTAAACAGTTCTCCACCGCCTCATGAACGTTTTTTAAATCAATTATCCTGGGATCTTGCAAGGATACCAGTACATCTTCCTGTTGAATCTTTCTCTGAATTTTAATACAGATATTTTATATGCGTCATGTTCTCTCAATTATCCATTGTTATTTTTCATATTTGCTCAAGACGTTCACATTATTAATAAAATATCACCTTGTCACGTTTCGAGCATTTATCGAGATTCTGAGCGCTTCTCCTCGAATCCTGAATTTTATCTGCGATACGATCGACATTGTAGGGACGTGAATCAAGTTCGGATCTCAAATCTGTACCGACTTTCGCATTACATCTACTTGGCTCGCAGTACTCCCTTCGTCTCCTGACAGGCAATTTATAAAAGTTTTTCGGATTACGTGAATTGAAAGCAGCCGGCGAAGTAAGACGAGTACAAATATTGCACGGAGGTTCCTGCAAAAAATAAAATATTGCTTTTGACAAGTTTACACATTGTCAGAGATTTACTTGTAACTACATATTTTCAATAATTAAGAATTTTTATTTGCAAATCTAAGAAAAGCTTAATATTTATATATTATTATATATTTATAATTTAATATGCATATTAAAAATTATCTAAAAATGTGTAATAAATTACATACCATCCAGGTTAGAAATCTTTTATATTTTTTCCAATGTTAATGCTGGTAATTTTATAAGACATCATTACACACACACACATGTCTTATATACAAACGTATCCTCAAGTTATAGAACATATTTGAGCTTGCATGATTCGTTATCGTTTTATTCGAGATTTATTATAATGTTACATTACTTAAAATTTAAAGTATATTTTAAAGAGTCTAGACGTGAGACGTAACATTGTTTTTGTAAAAGAGAGAAACTTCAAGTAGTTATTGTAAAATAATAAACTATTTATAAAATTCAGAATAAATATGTCATTTTATTATAATAAATATATAGATTTGAAATATACATATTATATATAGACATTACATAATCTTTGCAGAATTTTAAGTCATTTGCATTTATAAATATACATGCATATACACACGCTCATATTACGAAGTATAAATTTAGTTTAATATGCCATGATATAATTAATTATAGATCCTTAAGGATCATTTTTCTTTTAAAAAAAGATAATATATTTTTTGCTTTATTGAGGATCTACGATCTTTAATAGCATACGGCCACTCTAATGCGGATAATCTCTTTGGAAAGTAATCCTGACTCATGTTGAAAAACGTTTGTCTTGCGAAAATTGCCTTTTCCATCCATCTCAGTGTCAGAAAACTTAAATACCTTTTGCAACACAATGTAGATGCCCACTGTGTATAATAATAGCTCTTAAACTTACTTATTTCCTTTTCATAGACAACATAATGTAATATCATGCTCAACAAATTACATAACGCATAACATTGTGCAATGCTAACAATGCTCAAACTTCTCAGAATTCTCTAACTCTTCTATACACATACACACACAGTACAGGATACCTCTAAATATATTTCGCGTGCAATAGAGCGTGTTAAATATTTATAAAGGCAACGTTCCGAAAAATTGAAGCGTTATAATACAACGATCTATCTTTACGAGGGATGCATCGCAATTCAATGTTCCGCGGCGAAATGCGGATTTAAATCGTAGATCAAAAAGTCGGGCACTGAAGTGGCAAGCTTGTAAACGCTTCGTTTACGCGGCAGCCCGAAATCGGGCGCGTTCTCCCTTGAAATCTTGCGCGACCGACCCGTCCCGCATAATTGCATTGTGACGAGAGCCGTAAGTCGCGTACGGTCGGATTCACAATGGATGAAATGGTGAAAATAAAAAAGTCAACGAGAGATCGTCGCCTGGATAAAATCAGGACTTTCGAGAAAGAGAAAGTGTCGCCTTCCCATTCATTTGCAAAGGAGCGTGGCGCGCGGCACTATGGACAGTCGTAAATAGGATCGCTTTCCTACAACCGCAGGTAAGACGCGGCTCGCAATAGCGCCGAAATTGGATCATTCAGGTGCAAAGTAGGGTAAACCCACAATTCTTTTCTAATCTTAATATTCCCGTCGATTTTTCGTCTATTCCTGCTGTCGACCTCCTTTAAGAACGGATTTCGACTGCACTGCCGTGAAATTCATTTCATGATCTTGTTTCCCTACCATTGTCCTGATCCTAAACTCGACCGTCCGTGTAATTAAGTAATAAAGGAAAATTCTTCATGGTACACTCGCATATTCCGTATCTCTGTATATGTTAATTTAAAAATCGTGCAATTATTTTATGAGCGATATTACTTCGACATTGTAATAATCTAGGAATCCCTACACTCTTGTTTTAAAAATATATTTAGTTTTAACATGAAAATCTTGAAATGAAATTATATTACGTTAATTAAAGAAAAATATAATTGCTTGAATAATTGCTTACTTGAATGAAGCCATTTTATAGTTCAATCAGGAAAAATATATTCTTATAATTTAAGATTTAATTTTCTTGAATGGAAAGAAACAATATTAGGTAGGAAATAACATTTTTAAATCAAAGATTATAATTTTCTTAAAGTAGAATTAAATAATTATATAATCTTGAGGTGGCAATTACAGTATTAAAATAAGACTATAATATTATTGAATTTAAAATTATTAAATTCTTTTAAGAAGATTATAAATTGTTGCGTATATCCGAAACAATGAATGCGTTAGTTTAAGTATATAAGTTTAAGTATATAAGTTTTGATTTGACACTTTTTTTCTGTGTATACGGGAAAGCCTTCTATATGTCCTCATTCATGAAACGTTGAGATATCTTCGCGTTACATTGCAAGGATATATCCATGACAAATGTCATACCTTTGAAGAACTGATATTCCCTCGTACTTAAACCCACTTTCATCTACGATTTTCTTCCTTTTAAAAATCGTCAGGGCGAAATAAAAGAAAGTATGACCGCGTTAAGGAAGTTTCACGGCAGGCACGTATGTAACGGGCGAAGAATGTGAGGCGCGCGCGATAAAATTCAGCTCGTAAATCTTCGTCGAGTGGATTGTTTGCGGACGTAGTTGGTGGATGCCCCGAAGAGGTTGCTCCATCCCGAAATTGGGTTATTCAAGTGCAAAGCAGAGCGTCGATGGCGGACGAGAGCGATTCTTCAACGTCCCTTCCACTTCGGAGAGGCCCTGAGTATTTTTTTTTTGTAAAAAAATACGGATTTTTCGTTCATGGCAACCGTGAAAATCGGAGGGTTAGTTTATGAATTTCCATGTGAAACGTTTCTCTTTTCAAAGCTCTGGTATCTTACGTTAATATCGTATTCTATTTCATAAATATGACGTGACCATTATAGTTTTTTCGATTTTTTACGCGAGTGTGTTTCAAGTATCTGATGACTTTTGGGTTATATCATCCGGATAAATTTAAAAATCTTTGAATATAATACTTTAGACAAAATTGCATTTTTCTTTTCATAAAATCATTTTGCATTAAACACGCTACATTTCTCTGTATGTATATTATTTGCGTATTACAAGCGAAAAAATCTATAAATGTGACTTTTCTTAATTAAATAGTTCTCATCTCTGATGAGTAAAATATGTAGTCATTAAGGCAATATTATATTTTTAAAAATAATGAAAAGTTATTAGGTAAATTTGTTCGATATCGTCATCTCCTTCTTTATAGAATTTCGTAGGAAAAAAGATCCAATTTTCCGTCGTAAATTTTAATCGAATTGAATTGTTGGCAAATATACATTGTGTTAGCATTCGTTTGCGGGAAAAACTGACCAGACTTTCAAAATCAGATCATCAAAGGAAGACCACCTAAGCATACCACTATAGAATGCGGTAACTATAAAGAAGCGACTCTACAACCATTTGTCGCGATATGGAACATTTTGCCGATCTTTTAACCGAGTTAACAGGTAGGACCGAGAACCAAATGCACTGCGGGATTTTTTTATACATAGCGCTATATTGTATATTATTATATATGGAATTTTGAACAAAGCAAAACTGATTGTCTCTTATATTAAAAAGCGAAAAATCGGTCAAAATAGACTAATTGTTGTCTTTGTCGCAGTTTTTATGTGTCTTCTTTCAGAAACGTTTCTCCTTAACTAAAATGTTGGAAAAAAATTTTCTACCGTTTTTTTTATTTCATATTTTTCCTTGATAACTTTTAAGTGAGAAAGTTTCGTGTATCATTTAACAATTTTATAACATTCGACAAAATTAATTCGAACAACAAAAGACCATCAAACGCATTTCAATGTGTAATGTTTTAATTTATATTATATTTTAACTATAAAAAGAGAGAATTTATTGATCATAATTTTTTCTATATATTTTAAAATTCGTCACAACACGTGACGAAATATTGAAAGAACTTTTATAATAGACATTAATATTTTTTTATATATGATGATATATTATATGATATCTCAATATACATATATAAATCTGATCTCGAAATAGCTACAGCTGAACTTGAATGCTCTGGAAGAAGCCAAATTTTTTTATGGTAGCAATAAAAATATTTGTAACTGACAGATTTTTCTCTTTTGATATGAAATAAAACGAACAGATGACTTCTTTCCGTGCATGTCGTGAGTTTGAATAGAGACGACGCTGCGGATTTTCAAATTGCTTTTTACAATGCTGCGATTTCTTTCTTCATTTTTACCCAGGACATACGAATTATGTGTCACGGTCGTGTTCGAAGACGTGCTGCTTGACACCCTTTTACGGCTTTTCCAAGAGATCCTTGCATCAAGAAGGCCCTCCGGATTTATTCGAGACAAAATCGATATATTGATTTCCAACATTCTCGCTTCGCGAGAGACATGTGAAAAGTGGAAAACTTGCACGACACGAGCATCGCTGTCTCTTGCAAGGGTAACACGACTTGGGTGGTCGCGCAAAATATGTCACCGCTATTGAAACATGATTTTAGCATGAGTAGATAGAAGCGCGATATTATTCATATCATTTATATTCACGCGTTTTATCAACACACGTAAAAAGCTGCATAGATTTCTGTAAGTAAGGTTTACATACACGATAAAAGAAAATATGTGTCTAGAACAGATTTCATCAGCTGTTCAACTATCCATCTTTCGTTAAATTGATCGCTCTGTATAATTCATATTTATAAATTTGATTAATGACAAAATTTTTTCTAATTAAGTTTCATATACAAGATATTATATAATCTATTTGAAATATTAATTTAAAAAATTATTAATATATAATCAATAATTATCTCTCGTTTATAATTTATTTCTAATATTAATTAAATCGCTTAATAATCAATATAATTATAATCAACTTCAATATTAAAAAATTATTTTTTGGATAATAATTATCTACGATCAGGAGAGAACATATGTTAGAAAGCATATCTTCGAAAGCATCATATCTTTTAACAAGATCGCTTTGTAAACCGTGTAAA